GTTTTTCCCATATGCCTTTGGCTGAGCTTTTTGCAGCAACTTCACGCAAAACCTCATTTGAGAGATTTAAAATTATACCTGCTTTTGCCTTTTTGTCAATGATGACAAACGCCTCGTCCGTCATTTTTTCCGGCTTCTTCTCCTTTCCTTGTAGTGCCAAATCTAAGCCATCCTGAATTAGGATAGCTTCCATCTTCAATTGCCACATTCCGAAGTTTGCACTTCGGTCAAATTTCTCAACATAAGTCTTTGTTAGAGTCATTTTGGCTATTTAAACTAACCCGGATAGATCCGGCTCTGATACCAATTTGTTAGGATCGGGAACCCGGGTAGTGCGGAATTTAGCCAAACAACGTTATAATGACAATAACAAAGACAACACAAGTTGATAATGACGGTAATTAAAGCAGATAAAGGGGGCACAAATTTAACGTGGTTCGGTCAAGGAGACCTACGTCGACAAGCGGAAAGAAGCAATTTCACTATACCAACAAGAGTACAAAAGAGAGTACAAAATTAGAGTAAATACTCTAATTAGTCCCAAATACCCCAAGAGAATAATCTCACAAGATCACTCCAAAGAAAGGGTTCACACAAGTGTTTCCCAACACTCACTCTCTTACAACATACTCTATAATGAAAAAGAAGACAAAAGCTGGTAGAAATACTTCTACTTTTGCATCTGAAGGTGTGTTTGAAATGAGAGAGATGACCCTCCTTTTATAGGACCCAAACTTGGGCTCTAAGAACTAATAAAAGGAAAAAGGAAATTGATCAACCAATCTCTACCACACAATGATACTTTGGCTCCAAGTAAAAATATTGCCAGCCAACTCTTCTTCCAAATAGGCTTATGCCTATATAAAATGGACCCCACTAGCCCAAAAGATTGGCCATATTACAATTCATTTGAGCACATTGTTAACTAGTGGTTTACAAATATTGTAGAAAAGCAAAGCTCTTTCGCTTTCCTAACTTCACATTTTAATAGGAAGCCGTTGAGAACGCGTGGTAGTGTTTGTCACATTATTTATTATTTGACTAACACAGCAAAGGGGCTAATTGTGGTCAGGTTTAGGCTATTTAGAGATCATCTGATTCTGGTCCCTAATTGTTAGCAAACCACGGGACTTGAGTATATGGAATTACCAGTATAAGAAATACCATTGCTAAGTGAATGGAACCATCAAGTGGAAAAAATTCAGTACTTCATTATCCTTGAAGTAGAAAAAAGTATAGAGTCATTCATCTGTTTGACATGAATAACAATCAGGCATTACAGACTTAAGTTCACTAACATTTCTCATTCTAACATTAACTACAGCCTTCTCTAACTCTTTAACTATACAAACTGTGCAAATCCTGCTTTACTGCTCTACAAAATTGTCAAAACAAACTTCTGTCTCAGTTCCTCAAACGAGAAGTAAGGTCGATAAAGACATCCTCTTTGCAGGGAATTGTAAGACCGCCCATTGGGTGTTCGAAGCCAAATTCTTCCTCAGCTTGACTAAGCAAGTCTTGAAATAACGGTTGGTTCAAGAATGATATGGGAATCACAAATCTCTTCTTCTGCTTCTCCCCGACATATACATCAAAATATCCCTTGGGAACATCTGCAGATGTGGAAGACTTCTTGATTACACGAGGCATACGAATAGCCATGATTCTTTTAGCTTTAGTATAGACGAGGAAAGAACAAATGAACTGCTAAATACCTCAAAAGCAGAGAAAGCTTTGAATACTTAGAAGTTTTGCTGAGAGTTGTGGCTGTAGACACCTCCCTGAAAGTGTTTATATAGGACAATGGCAGCTCATATTATCATGTTAACCTGAAGTAACATGGTTTTGCCTATCAACTCATTGCCAAAGTATTGATGAGTGTAGGTCACATTGGTTCAAGACAATAGGCCCTACCTTTAATTTAGTGTTCTAGTAAGCATTTATTTTTCAATATATATATGGATTTATCCATCACCACATACCAATAGAACAAAGGAAAGTGAGATGTTCCTGCAGGTGCTTCCAAACATGGCCCTGAACTTAATCCAATAAACGCGGCTAATCTTAACTCTTGGATAAAATCTAAAAATGGAGGTCTCATGATCGTGTTTCAACTTGTTTGATATATAAAACAAACTGGAATGAGATACAAGTACAAAAACTATGTGATTTAATTGTGTTAGTGCAAGATTTCACAGATGCTAATTAGTCCCTTGAAAACTCCTTCATTTTCTTGTTGTAATGGGACCAAAAAAGATCACACAAGGGATTTTAAAAGATGGGGTTTTCTTCCATAAATAGTTTCACTATCCCAAACGGCACTACTTCTTTAGTAGCCTCTCTTTCCCTCAAACACAAAAAAGTACTACTTCTTCTTCCTAAAGCTCTCCACTTTCTTTAGATTTCTTCGAGAAAATATATAAAAATGGCCATCAGAAAATCCAAAAAACTACCACAAGCCGCAGTTTTGAAGCAAATTATGAAAAGGTGTTCGAGTTTGGGGAAGAATAGGGATGGCAATGGGGCGGCGCGGGTTATGGAATATGGGGGTGCGAAACGGGGCGGGTTCAAACATGTTTTAACAAAATGTATGCGGGGGCGGGGCGGGTTGCGGTTGTGGAGATCCTGTCGATTCGTCACTTGGATGGTTGAATGGTTCTTTCCCAAAGGTGTGTAGCTTGACACTTATCACAAAGTTTATTTTTCTTCCCTGGGGGCAAAATTCTTAAAACAATAACAATCCAAAAACTTAGCAAAAGGTTATTTCGAAATATTACTCATACAACACCTGTAGGTGAAAATTGTTAGTCCTATGACTAGCAGCCCAAGACATTGTAAGATTTTGTGGTAACACAACGTAGGAAAAGTTGGCCAACGTGGGTTGTTTTACTCCACGTTGATGTACAAGAAACAAGTGTCAGTGGGTATAGAAAATCATATATAGATGCAACTAATATTTATGTTGGTCTTTGTCACATATGTAAGTCCTCCGTTTTGAGAATGTTCTTAATAATGGTGCACCATGATCAATTTGGCTATGTTCTTAATGGTACACAATTGCATTCTTTACCTTGCCTGCCATTCTCACTTTACTAAGACAACCCCAAATGATCATCATTGAGATTAAAAAAAATATAAATAACCCTCTTTTCAAAATCTCTATGTGAAGACATTTCCGCATCACTATTACATCACATTTTTTTTTAATCTACTCTGTTATATGGTAAAAAAAATTGAACTACAACTGATAATTAGTTTGTCTTTGTTTGAAAAATACAATGAGTGTCGATTATGTACATAATATGAAGAGCAACAAGACGTTCACATATATAATATGCCAATGAATATAACAAAACCGGAATTCTTTCATGCTCCTTTGTTTCTATCGTATTTTTCAAGTAACATTTTCTTATGATAAATTATACTAATATGATGAGCTCTTTTGTTCCTTCGGGTAATGAGTCTAGGAGATAAAATAAAGTTCTCCATGTTACCATCAAAGTCAAGGATTATTATCTCCTAATGTTACAGGAGGTCCACTACTCGACAAGAGAAATTTGGTAAATAAAGAAGCTAATATGGTTATCCTCATACTCAGCAACTTAATCATTTGATTGGTAAATTAATGATTTTGCCACTTTCATACAGATTATAAAGGCCCTCAATCTTTATTGGAAAAAAAATAGAAGCAGACTTTTACTTTTAGGTAATTTTTAATCAGTTTGTTATTCTATGTTATTGTTTTATAAACTAATATTTCATGAACTGGTGCAAATACAGATTGTTCGTCAACTAGCATAACATGGCCTAATGATAATTCTTACATAGCGAGAGACTAGCGTTGGTGAAAAAGCACTGAAATTTATCTACACAAGAGGTTATATCAACTAGATACTGTAGGCACTGTATCAATTGAAGCTGTTGCGGAAGCCAAATGTATAGAGTGTGAATAAGTCACAACTATTATACCAAAAATTATGACAACCACCAAATAATAAATAAGACAATAAAGCAATAATAAAGGGAACACCAGAATTTACGAGGTTCGGCTAATTTTGCCTACTCCTCGGACACAACCAAATATTTTATTCCACTCCAAAAATACAAGTGAAATAATACTAAAGAGAGAAGATACAAATGCCTTAAACAGATGAGAAGGCAAATGAGAGGTGTGTTTCAATCCTAAACATTAGGCCTTCTTTTATAGGGGAAAAATCCCCCCCAAACTTAACTCCCAACCAATGTGGGACTTTGGCATTTTGCCAAACTTCAACAGAAGCATTATCCAACTGGATAAAAGAAAAATATGTGTTAGATATACTGGTAATCCATCGATTCCTTTTTTTTTGTCTAGCATTAGTGAAATACAACTGTACTGGTTTTCAATAGCTTATTCCTAGGTGCTAGGTATTTTTTGGTACTTCATGTTCATTGTTTGATTGTACTCTTTGTTACTTTGAGAGAAAAAGTATGATTAATTCCGTGATTTCATTAATTAGGCCTCCTCATTTGTTGCACGTACTGTTAATGTCATATCACGGGAGAAAAGACTTAATGGTAGAGGAAATATAAGTGCCTCACAGTTCCCTTTTTTTTCCTTATTATTCTTCTTAGTCATTATAAAGTAATATTTGACTTCTACAAAGAAGTTTGACTTCAGTTCCAGGTCAAGAGGTCCGAGAGATAGGTGAAGTAGCTTTCAATCCAATCAAAGAGATGAAGAATAGAGGAACCGTTAATATTGTTGTTGTCACCTTTTCTGTCCGTAGTTCAAGCCGCTCCATGCTGATTATTCCATTGTCGAGGTCTAAAGGAAAGTTTTTTAGTGAATGACAAGCCATGTATGAACGCTATGCTTATATTAAAGCATGAGCTGACTTATGTATTGGGTCAATTGCAGACCAAAATAGTTTTTTCACTCCAGTTCTTTTTTTTTCTGCTTTTTTGGTCCTTTCTAGTTTTGTTATCTAATCGTAACAGCAACCTAAGAGCACATACTAGTCGTTGTAGTATAGTGGTGAGTATTCCCGCCTGTCACGCGGGTGACCCGGGTTCGATCCCCTGGCAACGGCGCTGCCCATTTTTTATTTATTTTTTGAAAATAAAATTAAAAAAAAAAAACCTAGGAACACATTTGTAATTTTTGAAAATAAAAAAAAAATAAAAAACCTAGGAACACATTTGTAAGAAAATAAAAGTGGAAGTTTTCTTTGCAGAACTGATGCTTTGTTGCACCCTCAGTTAGATCTTCCTTTCATTTATGCAATGGTTGACCTAAGCAAATTCAAGCCATATGCAATGGTGTCTGAATGCTCCGTGAAAGCAATTTCATCATATGAATCAAGAACAGCTGGCTTCTACAGATAAAAAGAATCAAATATTAACAGTTTACATGAAGAAAACAGAACCAACAACAAACATTAAGTTAAGTAATTGAAATTCGTTTTGTTCTCAGCCTGCTATGCTCTCATTTTTTAGTCCAAGAAATTGCCATTTGAGCAGCTAACTTACCGGTTCATGAACTTTTGGAATAGCACATCTATGAATCTGCTAACGGAGAGAAGTTAAACCATTGTCCATCAAGTCAAAGAAACATACAATAACATGAGAATGTCTATAGTAATCCAGACTTGGTGAAATACAAGATCAACTAAATAATCTGCTATATAAAAGGTTAAAATACACTCATGGTGTAAAAGTTATTTATATTGTGAGCGTATACTAGTTAAATCAAACAAAACGATTCAAATTATAACCTAGCTAGCAAAGTGGAGAAACTGAATTATTCAGAACTCCAAGATAAATTTATTCTGGATACGTTTAGTGAGAAAAATGGATGTTGTATCTGTATTCTTTGAGTTACAGTCTTTGTGAGTCAAAAAGCACCAACCTCTGTGATGCTATACCTCATTGAGATCCTAACTAATCAACTGTACAAGACAGATCTTCTGCTTTGATGTATTAAATTTTGAGACCTAAAAAAAAAAAGAAAATGATCTCAACTATATTCTTAAATCCTAAACTGAGAAGTGATGCCAACGAAGATGTCCTCTGAGCAGGGAATTGTGACACCGCCCATAGGATGATTGAAGCCAAATTCTTCCTCCGCTTGACTTAGCAAATCTTGAAATGAAGGCTGGCTCAAGTATGCTATGGGAATTACAAATCTCTTCCTCTGCTTCTCCCCAACATAAACAGCAAAATAGCCCTTGGGAACATCAAGGGATGTTGAGGACTTCTTGATTATACGAGGAACACGGATAGCCATGGATTTTTATTTAAGATGAGCAAAGGGTGAAAGAAGAAATACTAATATTTTGAAAGCTTGAGTAGTTTTCTAGTTTTGTGGAGAGCTGTAGCGGTGTAAACTTCTCAAAACATGTTTATATAAGCAAATGGAAAGTCATAAAATCTCACGATTTTGTTGTAAAGAGCCATTTGGGTGAAAGACAATGACAAACCAATAGCCACATGGTCCTGCCTTCCAACTAATTGACATGATTAATTACTTTAGCTCATATAAGTTCAGGAACAATAGGTCCTACCATTTTCTTATGCATGGAACAAAGGATCTCATAGAATCAATTGCATAAGAATGGATTGTCCTTATGATGATTTGTGTCTGGAACGCTATCCATTAGGACTAAAACATACCCCATATATTAATTTTGTGTCCATCTACGTCAGTACTATAAGAGAAAACAAGTCCATTATATCTCAAATTTCAGTGGTGAAGAGGCATTTGTTGCCCTGTTGATTGACAATAGCGGATGAAGTATCACATGGTTTTGCTATCCAACTCATTGGCAAGTATTTATGATTTTAGGCTATTGTGCCTGAAGATCAGTAGGCACCACTGTTTTTATGACGTGATAGAAAACACAGGATCTTCAGAAATCAAATTGTTAACAACGGGTGATTGTCCTGTAATTATTCAGGTCCGGACCACTTGGTCTGCAATTAAAAATAAATTTACTGCAATATCTGACAACTGGTTTGTCCCCTCATGCTAAGGTCATTATGCAGGATCAACTTTCCTGATTAGAATTACCTCGGTTATTTCAGCAAATTCTCTAAAACAGTAAAGGACAGAAATGTTTCCTCACTATTAACCTGTCCCCATGTCTATAGTGTCCTAATTTCCATCATGAGTGCAGATGTTATATCTTAGAGTTAATTAAGTTACATTTGTTTTGATCAGCAACAGAAATTTTGAAGATCTTGAATCGAATAAAGAAAACTGACCGACAAGCTCAGATCTGCATATTCATTTAAGAAAACAGACTCATCCATTCTGTATTCTTGCCATAAATAGGATTAAAAAACAGAAATCAAACAGTAAACTAATTATGAATACCACATATTTGGTGAGTGTTAACGAGTAACCAGGGAGCTTTGCTTGAAAGAAAAAGATGTTTTCACACTCCTAAGCTGTACAGGTAACTGGAAAGCCAAATGGTAAACATGGAAGCTCTTATCACATCTTCAAAATATTTTTTCTATTGCATTCAGGTGCACTTACAAAACCAAGTAAGTTGAGCAAGAATTATTATATTGCAATAAATTATTCCATCGATATATGGAATTTATTCGAACCATAGAAGTAAAAAAGCTCATTACTTCAATTTCTATTGAAGTAGAAAAATGTGTCCTTAGTCATGAGAATAAAGGAATAACATCCATTGAATATGGAGCTAAATTCATTAGTCTACCTAGTCAGAGTGGTAACACTCCTCATTCTAACTTCAAATTACTGTTTCTTCTAACTCCTGAACTGTACACTCTAGAAACCTTTACAAAATTGTGTAAGCAAAAACTGTTGAATTGTTAATTTCCTTCTCACTTCCTCAAGCGAGATGTGAGAACAACGAACACATCCTCACTGCAAGGAATTGTGAGACCACCCATAGGATGATCAAAGCCAAATTCTTCCTCAGCTTGACTAAGCAAGTCTTGAAATAAAGGTTGGCTCAAGAACGATATGGGGATTACAAATCTTTTCTTCTGGTTGTCCCCAACATACACAGCAAAATGGCCTTTTGGAACATCTCCACTTGTGGAAGACTTCTTGATTATATGCGGCATACGAATAGCCATGATCTTTTAGTTTTAATGTATAAGAGCAAAGAAGTAAAAGAAGAACTACTAAAGCAGAAAAATAATCTTTGAATGCTTTCAAGTTTTGCTGAGAGCTGTGGTGGTAGTCACTCTTTGAATGTGTTTATATAGGCCAAATGGCAACTCAGAGAATCCTATTGATCATAAAGAGTTATTTCGTGGGCACCCACAGAATACAATAGCACCTGAAGTAACATGGTTTTGCCTTCCAACTAATTTTCAAAGTATTCATATCTTTAGTCCATTTAAGATCAAGACATCAGGCCCTACCTTTTGACTGAAGTTGGAACATAGCACGCCTCACAATCAAATTGCTAAAGAAGAGATGTACCCTAGAGTGATTATTCATGTCTAAATATATGCCTAGACATTTCTTGTCATTAACATGGTTTTCTAGTAAGAATTTATTCAAATAAAATGGAATATCCATCACTAGAACCAATAGAACGAAAGGAAGTGGGATGTTCCAACTTTCCAGGTGCTGTCTAGCTCAGTTCTGAACTTAATCCAAAATATTTGGCTACTCTTATATCATCTATTAAGGATATCACAAATTTTTATATGGATAATATATTATTTTGTATATGGAGGTTTAGGACTCTTTCCTAGGATTATAACAAACAAAACACCTGATCTTAGGAACACTTAAAGGAACCAACATCTGACGTACATGTCATGTACTGACATACAAATTTGATTAATCTGGGAATTCAATTATGTGTTAGGCTTTGGGCAACAAACTTATATAGCAAGATTTAATAACCTGCAAACAAGCAACATAAGTATACTTGCATTGCCACTAACATTGGTAACCCACCAGAAAATATGTACAGAAGTACTAATAAATATTTTTAGAAATAAGTTGTCTAAAATAAGATACAATTTTTTATCCTCACATCATAAGTTGTTCTAATCAATTAACTTCACGATCAGAAAAATCCAAGTTTTTCAGCTGTTCAGTAGAAATTCTAATAAATCAAACCAGAGATTTATTCTGAAAAGAGCAGAAAATAAAAATATCTAATGGAGTATGATCTATTAGTGTCACTTCTTTGATAGTTTGAAAATTCTGCTACAAATATTAAGTATTCTTTATTGTCATTGCCAAAAACTTTCAGTGTTCTGGATAAGTGCCAGATAAAGTGTCTCCTTTAGAATTAATTATAAAAGACTTTTAGCACATTAGAAGCTCCAATTCACATATAATGGAGAAAATGGAGTCTTGAAAAGAAATTTATCCAACAATAATACTGAAAATCCAATTGGGTAAAGAGTGAATATGAGCAGATTTCATTTGCTAATGAATGTGCTGTATGTCTTTTTGACATCAACTACTGAAAATTACATTCAAAATTGGGATCTACTGTTGCAGTTGACAGTAGCCCCCTCTATCTAATTTTCAATAATATGGTATAAATGATGTGTCTTTCCTAATTCTTTTAATGTACAAACTGAAAATCCCATTCTTTACAAAACTGTGAAAGGAAAAGCCTCATATCCTACTCAAGTGAGAAGTAAGATCAATGAAGACATCCTCGCTGCAGGGAATTGTGAGACCACCCATTGAATGATCAAAGCCAAATTCTTCTTTAGCTTGACTAAGCAAGTCTTGAAATAAAGGTTGACTCAAGAATGATATGGGGATTACAAATCTCTTCTTCTGCTTCTCCCCAACATAAACAGCAAAATGACCCTTCGGGACATCTCCAGCTTGAGAAGACTTCTTTATTATACGAGGCATACGGATAGCCATGGTCATTTAGTTCAATACAGAATGAGCAAATAAGGAAGGGAAGAATTAGTAAGGACCCTGAAAGCAGAGAAAAACTTTATATGATTTCAAGTTTGTTGAGTGCTGTTATGGTAACCCTTCTTTATATGTGTTTTTATAGGCCAATGACATGTTATAAAATCCTACTTAAGTGCATAGGCATTCTGTGGACACCAGCTAAAGACAATAGCACCTGATGTATCACATGGTTTTGTCTTCCAATTCATTGTCATACTATTTACACATTGAGACTAGTCCAAAAGCAGAAGGTCCCACTGATGTTCACAACAAAGAACGTATGGAAACCTCATCTTCTTGAAGAATGGTTTAGTTAGGGACCACCTCTAGCCATTTCTTGATGTTAAATCAACAAGTTGTAGTCAGAATTCCAATGATTGATCATCAAATGCGAATCTATGAGGGCATATCCTGAAATTTAGACGAAATTTGACCATCTATAGTGCTAAAGCAATGGCTCAGGATACAAGTTGGTTCCTATGAAAAAAATCTACTGTCTTACTCTTATGATTCCAAGTGGTGGTGTAGTTGAAGACTTCGAGAACACTTATAAAATTGTCAAGCTTCTGGTCAAAGCTAAACAAAACCAACCAGTGTTTACTTGTGTTGTGCCAATGCTGAGCACTGGTGGACCTCAGCACTAATTCTGTAGGAAACAAGCAAGAGAAAAACGCAGAAGATTATCTTTAATCTGGCCAGAAAATATGATAATAGACTGGTACAAGAACGATCTGCTGGCTTAAATTTTTCAAGAAAACTCAATTGACACACTGCACCTTGAAATGATCAGATTATATAAATCTAACAACAAGTTGACTTTGAACAGCAATTTATAGCAATCAAAATTCCTATACCAAACTTCTAAGTATTTATGAACAGCCAGAGCTATGACCTGTATGATACAAGAGACAAAGACAAATGGAACGCCTAATTCATCCTCAAGCTATAATTTCAAATGATAATCTTAGCAACTACACAAACGTGTCAACTTTAACCAGTGCACGTGAAGAGTAGAACCAACTAAAATCAGCAAGCTAAGAAATTGATTTAGGCAAGTACATGATTATTTCAATTCTTGGATACTTTAATGTTTAAGTAATCAAAACTTCTAAATGGTTTGGTCCTAGCATTGGGTGGTTTATTTGTATATGGTATCAGAAGGCAGAGCTGTAAAACAGAAGAGCAACTCACAAGATGCACGGGCTGGTAATGAACATCAGCATGGAAATGAAATCTTCCTCGCCAATGCAAGGCCCCTCATCCACATCTTATCTTCAGGGCAGCCTGACAGGAAGTGTTCTTCACAGGAATTTCATCGAACAACACAGCTGCATTCTTCGTAAAGGATTTCTTGGCATACTAATCAACCAAATCACGGCACACATATACACGATTTCCGTAAAAGGGTGTAATTCAATTGACCAAAGTTGATATTTTGAAGACAAGAAGAAGATTTCAGAGATACACAAGGTGTAAGGCACGAAGTGATCACCATCTGAATGCATTCGTAAACCCGTTCTCCTCTGGTAAATTACTCTGACCTAACTAAAGTTTTGGATTAAATTATGATATTCTTTCATAACCTCCTCCACCCGCACCACTAAAAATTTCAAAAAGCAAAATATCCAAATTTTATCCCACAAATCAAGCAATATTTCAAGGGCTTTAATTTATACCGTCAAACCTCCCCTATAACAAGCCTCCTCTTTATAACAATCGTAATTTTCGGACGTTACAGTAAAGTGCTGTTATAAAAAAAGATATTATAACATAAAATAAAGGATCAGTTCCGAAAAAAACTTAACTAATGATTGTTATATAGGGATACCGTTATAGAGAGGTCTAACTGTACACAGCAGAGACAGATCTAAAATTTAAACTCTTCAACCTTTAATGTTTTTAGCATTGAACTCATAGTATATTTAAACTTATGGGTTCATGTCTACTATTTTTTATAGTTTTGATAAATTTTTACATAAATTTATGCTCTGGGTCAAAAGTAGTGGGTTCAGTTGAACCCCGCACTCGTTTGCTCATCCGCCCCTGGTACACAGCAGATAGCATAAATATTTTGGGCACTATGATCATGTCATTAAAATTTATTTGTATAAAAATCTTTTACACTGCTAGAACACAGAAAATTCTATCTTATATATTGGCGAAGTGGATAAGCTGAATATTTCAGCACTGAAGATAAATTTCTTTCGGATGCATTTAGTGAGAGAAAAGAATGTTGTATCTGTATTCTTTGAATTAGTCGTTGCGAGTCAAAAAGCGCCAATCTTTGTGGTGCTAAGCTTTACATAGCTTCTAATTAACCAACTATACAAGATGGATATCCTACTTTGATATACAAAATTGTGAGATTCTCAACTATATACTTAAATCCTAAACTGAGAAGTGATGCCAATGAAGATATCCTCTGGGACGGGTATTGTGATGGCACCCATTGGATGATTGAAGCCAAACTCATCCTCTGCTTGACTTAGCAAGTTTTGAAATGAAGGTTGGTTCAAGAATGATATAGGGATCACAAATCTCTTCTTCTGCTTCTGCCCAACATAAACAGCAAAATGGCCCTTTGGAATATCTCCAGCTGATGACGACTTCTTGATTATACGAGGCATACGGATAGCCATGAGCTTTTATTTAAGATGGCAAAGTAGCGGTTGCAATTGTTATTGGGTTATGAAAGCAGGGAAAGCTTTGAGTAGTTCTCTAATTTTTTGGATAGCTGTGGTGGTGTGGAGCTTCTCAAAACATGTTTATATAAGAAAATGGATAGTCATAAATCTCATGATTTTGTGGTGAAGAGCCATTTGGGTTGGCCACTAGTGAAAAACAATGACATGTCAATAACCACATGGTCCTGCCTTCCAACTAATTGACATGATTAATTACTTCAGCTCATAAAGAACAATAGGTCCTACATTTTTCTCCTACATGGAACAAAGGATTTCTTAGAATCAAATCCATAAATATGATGAGGTGCCATATGATGATTTACAGGACCAAAACATACCCCAGATGCCCATTATGTGTCCATTTATAGAAGTACTCTCAGAGAAAACAGGTCAATTATATCTCAAATTTTACTGGTGAAGAGGCATTTGTTGCATTGTTGATTGACAATAGCATATGAGGTATCGAGGTATCTCATGGTTTTGTTTTCCAACTCATTGTCAAATACATATACCATTGCTGCCCTACTGTTTTTCATGAAAAGATAGAGAACACAGGATATTTAGAAATCAACTTGATAACATTGATTAATTATCAATACAGGATCTTTGAGATCAGACTGATAATAATAGGTAATTCCCTTGTTTTGATTCAGGTCTGGACCACTTGGTCCGCAATTAGAAATAAAATTTACTACAATATTTGATAACTTGTTTGGTCCCTCATGCTAAGTCATTATGTGGGATCAACTTTCCTGATCAGAATTACCCGAGTTATTTCAGCAGAGTTTGAGAAATGTTTCACTAATTGTAGAGAACAAGAAATGTTTACTGGCTATCAACATGTCTGTGTCTATGTTGTGCAGATCTCCATTAAATTATGAATCACTCGTAACCTTATTGATGCGAGAAATTTGAGTAAATATTCAAGAAAAGTATAGATATTATTCTTTAGAAGACTAGATTCAAGTTCATTCCGATTAGAAAACCATGAGAGTTGAGAAACAAAATTTCTACTGCAATGAATTGATTACATCAATGTATGGAAATAGATCCGGCCCTTGTTGAAAAAGGACATCTAGAACCTCGCCTTGCCACATCCCAAAATGTTCTGATCCGTCAAAAATTTTTACCGCAAATTTCGCATTTGACACAATTCTTGTCATAAGCGAGGATGTCAACGATGACGTATTATTGACACTTGATGTAGATTCTTCTTGTTTATTGTCTCCCATTTTGACACGAATATTATTTAATAGCTGACGACACAAATCAAGATTATTTCCTTTCTAATGTGGAAGATCAGACTAAGCTGCAACCACAGAGCATACTAAGACAGAACCTTGACACAGTACCAAGATAAATCTTTTCTGATGTGGAAGAACAGACTATGCTGGAGGATCAAGTGTATTCGCACGGACAATGAAGGTGAATACAAAAATGATCATTTCAATAAGGTCTGTGAAAAAGATGGCATCGTCC